CAACTGAACTGTTCCTCTGGTTTTATCTTCCTGGAGAAAAAAGGGTGATGGTGAGCATGTGGTGCACTAGGGATGCTGATGGTTTGTGCTGATGCTGCGTGATGTGTAGGCACACAGACAGAAGAGCCAAAAGAGACCAGATAAGTTGTTTGTTAATATCTCTGCTCAGCTTGCCAGTGCAATTACAAAAGGTGGTTGGAAATATCAGCCCTTCTGTGTTTGCTCTCAGTGTAAACCTCTGGTTTGGATTTTCTGTTAGCTACTCACACACTTGTATTTTGAAAACTGTCACTGCCTTTCGGCACATTTTGTATCCAAGTGCATCCCACACCTTTGGGCTGGATTGCCCCCAGCCCTTCCACCTGGCTGGGTGAATGCTGCTGCATTGCTGGCTGCTCTGCCATGGGCAGTGACAGTCACTGTGTGGTGACACCAAAGCCTGCCCCACGACTGACCGCGCTCCTCTCTCTGTGTCTCTTTAGCAAGCTGACCCAGGACAACAGGATAGAGAGCCCCATTCCTATCCTGCCTCTGCCAACACCAGACACTGAGACAGAGAAGCTGATCAAGATGAAGGATGAGGAGGTGAGACCCGTTTTGCCTGTTCCTCCTTGGTGCTGGAGCTGGAGTCTAAGGTGTCTCTCCAGCATTGCCCCAGAGAGCTGTCCTGAGCCTTCCCAGTCCTGCCCAGTCCTGCCCAGTCCTGCCCAGCCCGGCTCCTGCTGCAGGACAGGCTGTGAAAGCTGGGGCTGCCTGTCAGGGAAATGCAGCTAATTGCAGCCCAGCTGCAGGTGCCTCTGTGCATGCAGGAGTTAACACTCCCTGAGGGATCCCTTGGCCAGCTCAGGGGGCTGCCCTGAAAGGATCAGCAGGTCCCTTTCTGACTCTCTCCTCTGTGTCTCCTGCAGTTACGGCGGATGCAAGAGATGCTGCAGAAGATGCAGCAGCAGATGCAGGATCAGTGAGAGGCAGGTACCCAGAGGGCAGAGGGAATCCCCCAGTGACCACCTGAGACCTGGCAAGAGCTGTGAACGTTTAGAAAAGGTTTCCTGTTGTATAGAGACTTGTGGGCAAGAGCTGCACCCGCACCCTCTAATTTATTAGCAGCAATGTTGGCTTTTCGGCCAGCTGGCTTATGGAGGAGGCTGTTCACTTAACAGTTTACTGAAGTGTATTTCTTTCTTTTTTAATGTGCTTTTGTTTCTTTTTTTTTTCCTTCTTTCTTTTTTTTTTTTTTTTTAAAGAAACTAGCCTGGGAAGTCTCTAAGGCATCCTAAAAATAAGAAAAGAAAAAGATCCCCCTTTCCCGTGTACTAATCTCTTGTTTGGGAATGCTCTGGTATTTAAAGTCCTGGTTTCTCTGGTGTACAAACTTCAAGACTGTCTGTGTCAATGCACGTAAGTGTTTACTCAAAACTGAGGTGCTGTGCCCCTGTCCCTGTTCCCCCTGTCTGGGGCCAGCATTGCCAAGGCAGCCGTACCCTCCTGTGAGTTTGACCTGCTCGGCCTTCCCAGCCTGGGCACAGCTCTGGCCCACACAGCTGGGGCTGGGGGTTTCTCTGTGCACTGACCTGCTCAGGGGTACTGATGGTTGCCTGGTTTCCTCTCTAGGTTTTTATGGGTTTTTTGTTTAGTTGGTTGGTTTTGTTCTTCCTATCAAGAAGCTCCAGGATATTTGCACTGAGCAGCAAGGGACTGAATCTCTCAAGGCTGGTTAGAAGAAAATGCTTCTCCTGCTCCCAGTTATGTCTTTCTGGCAGAGGGGATGAGTTGTCTATTCCCTGCAAGGACTTGATGGGAGTGAGCACCTTCACTGCCATGGTTTCCTTCCTTGGCAGGCTGGAGGTGTTGGTAGATGAACCCCAGGGCCCTGCAGTAGCTGGCTGAGGGTATCTCTTGGTTTAGCTCTGGTCATCCAGCTGCAGTGTGTCTTCAGTGTCTGCTCTGAAAAGCACCGTGGCAGCCAGAGTGCTTGGTCAGGACTGCTTTGCAGGAGGTAGGAACTCTAGGGCTGAAATCCAACCCCAAATACAGACCTGTGTCCTGTCTCCAGGCTTTGCAGTCCCATGAGCACATTGCTGGCTCTGAGCTTCTCCTGGGGGAAGGGGCAGTTTTTGTAGGCTTGTACCCAAGATCTGCAGGCTGCCTGTCCAGGCAGGTGTTCCCTCAGTGTGGCAGGAGCAGGATTGTCGCTGCATGGGGCTCAGCACAGCCCACCAGACTTGGCACTTGCTCTTCTGCCCTTCCCCTGGGACTCAGCCCCTCTCCCCCTCCCTAGTCCAAGGCTCTTCCTGTCTTAATGCTGGGAAGGCTGGTGGATCTGCTGGGCAGAGATAAGAGCACTCTTTTGAGCAGCAGCTCCTGTCTTGTTCTTGCTTCCTGCAGTATTTTTAACTCTAGCCCAGCCAGAGCAGAGCCCTGGAGTGTGATGTGCCTGACAGGGCAGGGCTCGCCAGCAACACTGCCACGCTCACAGGAATCAGGGCTGTTGGAGGGAGAGACACTTGGCTCTTCTCTCTGACTCCAGGGAGTTCTCCCATGGGCTGGACCCTTCTGCTCCTTGGCTGATTCCTCTATCCCCTTTGCCCTTTTGTATCTGCTCCTCCATCTCTGGATCTCCCCAGTGGATCTCCCTGGGTAGGAAGTGTTGGCCAGGAATAGCCAGGCCCTAAATTCTGTTATTAGGCACTGCACTTGTCTGATTCCTCTGTGGGGCTTTAGAGTCCTGGTTCAGGGCTTGTCCAGTGGTGAGTAGGTTGGCTGGTTCCAGTTATTCACTGTACAGAGCCTGTGCTTAGCCATGGGCTGCAGGGGCAGGGGAGAGGCCCTGGCACCCTGTGGAAGGGCAGAGTGAGGGCAGAAGCCCTTTGGCAGAACTGTGCAAGCTGGGCAAGAGCAGTGTCCAACAATGTTGGGTTTTTTCATTCTCCCCTATTTTGGGCTCAAAAGTGGCAGTGCCAGCCTAGGAGAGCAGAAGGATTCAGCTTGGCTTCAATAACATGCAGGACCAAGGTGCCTAAGGAGGAAACAAACCTTTCTTTGTGCAGTGTGCTTACCTGAGCAGTGGAGTGGCTGCAAACCTTCCTCCCAGGTTTTCTGGAGCTGGTTTGCTTTTAGCCAAAGCTGTAGGTCTACTGAGTTCTCATCTTTCTGTGCTGGTGTAACAGGGAACACCCTGAATTACCTGTCCCCTCTTTTCTTACACTAGTCTTGTTAGTGAGGAGGATGTTCTGTTGCAGATGAGCCCTTCCATCTGGAGATGTTCCTCCTTCAAACACATTTATTCCTAGAAGATAAAGGAGACTTTTTCCCTTTAGCAAGGACATAGAGCAGCTGGCAGCTCTTACTGTGGGCTGTGCACAGAGGTGCTGTGTGCTGGTGAGAGCACAGGCACACTGGTCCCAGGCAGGAGGGGTTGCTGAGGGTGGATCGGCCCCTGTCCCTCTGAGGAAGTCTCCATCAGCTCAGTGCACGTGGCTCCTACATCAAGTTGACAGTCACAAGTCTGTCCTCTACAGAGAGCTGAAGTCTTTGGCTACCAGCTGGCAAAGATGGTTCAAGTTGCATTTAGGAAAAAACACCCAGGAGTGGGGCACCAGAGATGGTTCTGCAGAGAGGCAGTAGTACCACTGAAATCACATCTCCGTGTAGGAGGCTCCCTACAGTGCCAGAGTTTGAGGGCTGCTTGGAAAGGGATTAGAGACTGATTTTGGGGGCTCCAGGGAGGTGCCTGGAAGGTGGCATGTGTTTATTAAAGGGTACTGTGGCATCAGGTCACACAGTAAGCAAAGAGACTCCTGAACACATGTAGCTTGGCCATTTGGCTCTGGCAGTGAGAAGTGTGGATAGGAGAGTAATTTAACACCTCCCCTCACCAACCCTGCACAGCCTCATCTGCCATCCTGCACCCCAGGCCCATTGCCCTGCCTCTGCCATCCTGCACCCCAGGCACATTGCCCTGCCTCTGCCATCCTGCACCCCAGGCACATTGCCCTGCCTCTGCCCAGCTTTGTCCTGCCTGAGTGGCTGCAGGGCAGTGTCCCTCTCCCCAGGGCAGTGTCCCTCTCCCCAGGGGCAGTGTTCCTCTCTCTAGGAGTGGTGTCCCTCTCTCCAGGGGCAGTGTCCCTCTCTCCAGGGCAGTGTTCCTCTCCCCAGGGGCAGTGTCCCTCTCTCTAGGAGTGGTGTCCCTCTCTCTAGGAGTGGTGTCCCTCTCTCCAGGGCAGTGTCCCTCTCTCTAGGAGTGGTGTCCCTCTCTCCAGGGGCAGTGTCCCTCTCTCCAGGGCAGTGTCCCTCTCTCTAGGAGTGGTGTCCCTCTCTCCAGGGCAGTGTCCCTCTCTCCAGGGCAGTGTCCCTCTCTCCAGGGACAGTGTCCCTCTCTCCAGGGCAGTGTCCCTCTCCCCAGGGGGGCTGTCGGTCCATCTTGCCCCTGTGCCTGCTGGGATGGAGCCATGGCATGAAGTCCTTGTGTGCTGCTGCTGTGCTGGTCCTGCTGTGCTGGTCCTGCTGTCAGTCCTTGCAGCCTCCCTGCATGCCTTCCCTCCAGGGAGGGGATCCCACTCCTCATGCTCTGCATTCCCTGCTCCTCCTCCCAAACTCTGCTGTGCTGTACTGCTGGCTTGCTCCTGCCATGCACCTTCCTCACCCCCTGCTCCATTCCTAGGCTCTTTGTTTCCTCTCCATCTCTTGGGTTATTATAATTATATTTTTTTGTAAATTTCTGTTTGAACATTTTGTCATTGTGAACAAAGAAAAATGAAACCTTTTAAAACATATCCATTTTATTAAATGATTATTGTTATTATTATTAATGTTTACTACCTGAATTGATCAGTGAAATAAATACATTCAAAAACCCAACCTCTTTCTGTTTAATTTTCAGCCCTCTTCAGCGGCACTGGTGATACATTGTGGGCAGGAGAGAGCAAAACTCACCCTGTTTCTCCTTTTATCTAATTCTGTCAGAACAGGCTCCAGGCAGGACTTCCTGCATGGGATTTCTGGCCTGTTTGTGCCAGAAGCTAGCAAGCTGATCCTCAAGTTCTTCTGTCTTCAGGCTTCCCTTAGGAGTGGTGTGTAGATCAGCAGTGGGCAGCTGGGCAGGATGCAGCCCCAGGAAATGCAGTTTGTAAGTAGCCAGAGGAGCGCTGCCAAGTCTGTGCATGCGGAGCCACAGTGGACCTGGCTCTGGATCAGCTCCATGCCCACCTGGCCTGAGCACCTGCCTGGAATAAACACAGCACCAAATGCACGAGACGAGGTAGGGTTGCTTAGCAAACTTAACCTGTAGCAGTTGAGCTGCTCCCAAGTGGAAAGCGTGCCCTGCAGGAAGAACTGGGTTGGTTTGTTGGCCTAAGATCTCTCTCCCACTCTGCCTGCCCACCACAGTGAAATGATCTGCCCCACCTTCATAGAAATTTAAAGCTTAATTTTCTTTAGAGCATCAAAAATTTTTCCTGGGGCCAAATCCTGCCACTGTTTGCACCCTCAGTTCTCCTCAACATGAGCACATTCAGGGCATTCATCCTTTCTGCTCCGTGATGTGCACAGCACAAGGTAAGAGTTGTGCTCAGCGGGGCAGCAGTTTCACAGCGTAATTCTGGTGGCCTTAGCCTAAGGAGCACAGTGAATGCCTGGTCAGGCTGGTGGCACAGAATTGTCTGTGAGGGTGTGATGGCCATGAGAACACAAGATTCTACCTAATGTATTCTGACCCTTGGACTTACCTGTTTGAGTGTTTGCGTAATGCAGCTTCAGAATAACGCATGTGTCAGTCTTTCTCGTTTCTATCAGCAGATCTTACACTACTAAGTAGGAGTAGATTTGTGTCCCTGTTTCAAGGGAAGCCTGAGGGTCAGCACCTGGAGAAGTGCTAGTTCTCATCCCTTTGCCAAGTGCAGTTTTCCTGATGAGATGGGAAGCCAAAGGCCCCAGAGCTCAGGGAGTACCAAGCAGTAGTGCCACCTTCCAGGTTGAAGTGCACTCTGGGTTACTGTGCAGTGAGACTGTGCAGTGTTTGTGCTGGGCCCAGAATCACAGTCATCAGGGCTGTCAGCATCGCTCCCAGCACACGTGGGCACTGCCAGCTCCTGTTTCTTGGAAGACTTGCTCATGAAGGATCGGCTTCTGCTGACACACACAGACTTGGGGAAGGCCTCGTGTGGGAGGCCCCTGGGCTGAGCCTGACCCTTATCTGGCCAGCCAGCTGCAAGGGCATTATCCGGGAGCTCAGCTGTGCAGCTGCTCACACTCCTGCACTGGCTGGGCTGCCTGAAGACCTTCCTCTTGTGTTGGAAAGCCAGCGGGAAAGCAGGCATTGTACTCCTCTGGTAAGTCCACAGTTGCCTTCTGGGTTTTTCTCGTTGTTTGGCTGACAGCACAGCAAAGCCCTGCCTTGCTGCAGATACGTGTAGTTGTTCTGCAGAATTATAGCAGCTCATGTTCATCAGTGGCACGAGGCTAATAAAAAGACAGCCCATTGACCCATGTCTTCCAGCACAGCCACAGCTCCAGAAGGAGATTATTCACCTGCTGGAGCAGCGTCTACCGTGGAAAACTCCACTGGCCTCCACCCTCAGTGATCAGTACCCTTTCTGTGGCCTAGGACTGTTCATCACTTCTTTCCAAAACTGGAAAGGCAATTTTTTGCTTGTGGTAACAGTAGATTTATTTCTGCATCTCCTCTTGCAGTTTGCATGAACTAAGCTTTGCTTACAGGTGTAATTCAGAGCTATGATAAGGCATGAGCTGTTTCACATTTTAGTTTTTGATTCCTTGACAGAAATTTTATTGGCTGCTCTAGTAATTCACCTTCACTAATGCTGAAAATACAAGCAGCTCTTGTACACTTCGGAGGACTAGTGAAAATGTATTTGATGGCTGCAGCCAAGCTTCCCAGTAGCTATGTGTTCATATCCCTCCTCAAATACAGGGTTGGAAGACCAGGAACATTTCCTCTCCTGTAAAGAGAGACCAAGATTTTGCACATCTCTTTTAACTTTGTTCTTTTCAGAGCTCTCACACTCCTGTGAAGGACACCAAATTCCCCCAGCTTTGGGAACTCATCCTCAGAACAAGCCAACAGAGGCCCCGGGGCTGTGGTGTCAGTCCTGGAGCGTGTGGTGTCTGCTTGCCTGGTCTTCACCTCATTCAGTCTCACCAGGGAAGTGTTTGCAGGTGAAGATGAACAGGGGAATTCTCTTCTTGTCCCTGCTTGGCTTCCTCCCGCTCGTGATACCCACCTGCCCTGTGCCATGCAAGTGTACCAGCACCATCATTGACTGCACCTCAAAAGACCTCACTGTAGCAAACCTGCCCGTGGCTTTCCGTCCTTCAGCTGAAATTATCCACCTCGGTTACAACAGGCTCACCTCTATTCCCAATGGGCTCTTTGACAACCTGAAGAGCCTCAAGGTAGTCTACCTGCAGGGCAACCCTTGGGAATGCACCTGTGACATCCTCTACCTGCGCTCCTGGCTGCAGTGGCAGCAGAACCGGACCCTGTACAGGGATGTGAGGTGCAGCTCCCCGACACACCTGCAGGACCGGGTCATTGCCTACCTCACAGAGGACGAGGTCAACTCCACGTGCCAGTATTGGTACTGCAGCCTGGCTCTCCTCTCTCAGCTCTGTCTCTTCATCCTCCTCTTCCTCCAGGGTATCTTGGTTATCTTCATCATTGTTTACCTGCAGAAATTTCGGAGAATGACCGCTGAAGCCCGGAGCACCACCCGAGATCTGCACTAGCAGGTTGACCCTTGGGTATCTTCTTCAAGAAACCCCTACAATAATGATTAACATCACAAAACTGGAGACCCTCCTCTTGGGGGATGATGTGCCAAGCTCCTGTGGTTTGTGATACCCAGAGCAGACTGCAGTCCAAAGCAGGACTTGAACTGATTAGACACTTGCCTGTGTTCCTAAAGAACCAATCCTGTGGGGTTTTTAATGCTTTGAACTCTTTAGCGTGATCTTGATTGCTTTGCTGAGCTGGAAGTGGCTCTGGTTTGGTAGATAAAAGAAATCATAAACTACAGTGACCAGGACTGACTCGAATGGCTCACAAGCTCCTAAAGGCTACAGAGCTTGATCCTTCCTATGCTACAATATTTCAGCCACACTTCCCACGATGCTTCTGCTTGTGTTGGGTCAGGTGAGGACAGAGGTGGGCAGGGAACAGTTAAGATACCGGACTAAGACAATGGAGAAATACAGTTTCCTCGTGTTGCTTGATGCATCTTTTCCAATGTTCTTCTGAGGGAGGGAGGGAATGTTTAGAAGCCCACCTATTTTATCCTGTCTGCATTCCTTTTAATCTACTCATAGTTTTAATAGTGATTTCAGCTGAGTGAGGCTGGGGCCCTGAATGCCTTGGAGATATTCATCCTGAAGCCAACAGTGGCTCGCTGTGGCTGTGCCTGTAACAGCACTTGGCATGAGAGATCCAGTCTTTAGAGACTCAAACTGCAAACCCCACTGACGTGCCTACTGCTGGTTATGGTGTCCCTTAATTATTTTTGAAATGAAGCAAAAATGAAATAAAATAATGACGCCTGTTGATGTAAATAGCTTATTTTTCTATTCTACAATGGGTATCTTGCATGCTGTCGTGCCCCCTGGAGTTCCTCACACTCAGACTGTGCCAGGCAGTCAAACCCCGGGGCAGGTGGAGCTGCTGCCGTAGTGCACTGTAGGGTTAAGCTTTGGCAGCTGCTGCTTCCACCACGGCCCAGGGAAATGGGGAGTTTTTCCAAGGGCTTACTGGTTTATGATGCGGCTGGAAAGGAGAGGCCGTTTGGTGGGGCCAGCGCGGCTGTGGGGTGGGCAGCAGGTGAATGCCCCATTCCTTCAGCCTCCAACCCCAGTCACGGGGGTTCCTGTCCCTTCCAGGGGCCTCAGGTCACACACACAGACAGCTCCTTGGCCGGGGCACCGGGGCTGGGGACAGTGACGGGACACGGGGCAGTGCCGGGACACACACGGGGCAGTGCCGGGACACACACGGGGCAGTGCCGGGACACACACAGGGGGCAGTGCCGGGACACACACGGGGCAGTGCCGGGACACACACGGGGCAGTGCCGGAGCGGCCGCGGCCGCCTCACGCTCCGTCAGGGCCCGCTCGGCCCTGCCGGCCGCACCTGGGGCGTGAGGGGCCGCGAGGGCCGTGAGGGGCCGCGAGGGCCGTGAGGGGCCGCGAGGGCCGTGAGGGGCCGCGAGGGCCGTGAGGGGCCGCGAGGGGCCGCGAGGGCCGTGAGGGGCCGCGAGGGCCGTGAGGGACGGACCGCGCCGAGGCTCTCTGAGGGTAAAAGGGAGTCCCCGGTGGTGTCTGTGCCTCGGCTGGGCTCGGGGACCGCGAGAGCGCGACAGCCCCAGGTGTTCAGCGAGAGGCCGCATGTGCTCGGGCCGGCGGAGCCGTGAGGGCGCGGAGCCCCCCGTGAGGGCGGCGGTGTCGGGGGCCGACGAGGACCTTCCCCGGGCTGTGAGCGCCGGGCCAGCCTGGCTGAGGTGAGTGACACGGGGCTCCGTCTCGGGGGTCTCTTTCTGCCGTTTCCTTGCTCTGCCCGTGTCCCTACCGCGCTGACCCCGGCGGGGTTGGCCTGAGTGTGGCACTGGCACTGAAGAAAATGGGGTCCAGCTGGGTTTTCTTTTGAGGTTTGCACATTGCTGGACTTCAGACAACGCATGGGTCCCTCCAGTGTCCCTGTGACCATGATCTCTGAGGGGGGACACAGCCCCACCGAGAGCCTGCTCTGTGGAGGGGTCCACATTGCTGCTCCATGAGGCCCCCAGCATTCTCAAATCCCTGATCTTTAAGTACTGTTGTTCGGTTGGGTTTTTTTAGGTGTTTTTTCCCTCCCTGAGGAACAACCTTTCCATAGGAATGGAAAGCCAGTTTCCTGGCTTGTTCCTCCCCCACTGTCCTTTTCCCAGAACCAAGATGCAGCATTATAAGGGAGTAGCACAAACCCTGTCTTCCCTTCACCCCTTCCTTCTTATTCCTTTAGGTCAATTATACTGTTATTTTAGTGGTTTATGCCTGTTGTTGAAGTTCTTTTCCTTACTGATACATGGAAGGGAGGGAAAAGGCCTTTTCTTGCCCAATACTCTGTAGGGTGTGCTAGTGTGGCAGAATAATCCCCCGGGCTTGCCTGCAGATTTTCAGCTGAATCTCCCCGGGTTAGAGGGTGTTGTCAGTGGCTGTGACAGTGCTGGCAGTGCCGCAGGCACAGGTTCAGTTGCTGGGACAGGCTGGACTGGGAGCAGGCAGATCCCAGCCCTGTGGCTGCTCAGCCTGTCGGCACTGCCGTGGGTGCCCCAAAGGGAAAACCTTCAGGGCTCAGTGTGCCCACAAAGACAGAACAACTGCTGGCTTTGGTTTCACTTCCCTGGGCAGCAGGCAGGAAGGGCTCCTGACTCTGCGTTGTTCAGTCTTGGCAAGTGAAAGGTAAAAGCCTTTTTGGCATCATTTGCCAAAATGTGGGGAATGTGACCAGCAATAGCAATGTGATAATGAATTGCACTGAGCACAGAGTGATTTGTGTGCCATGGCAGCATGTCTAATCCATAAATCTAGAGCCTGCATGGCTTGGCTTCTCCTGGCTCAGGAAGCTGCATGTCACAGATGCTTTCCTGCTCTGCTGGCCAGCGGAGGATCTGCTGGGATGCCTGTAAAGGGAGAACTGGTTTTCTTTCTGAAGGGAGGGACTGTCCAAGGCTGCACAGAGGCTTCAAAGGGGAAGTAGAAGTGAAATATGACGAAGATAAATGCAAGTTATTAGCTGGCTTTGCAAATAACTGTCCAGTATCAAGGCCAATCCAGCCCCTGGGTGTGCAGGACTGGGCTGCCATGCCTGCTGGACAGGCTGCTGCATTGCCAAGGGTTCAGATGCTTCCAAGCAGCTCCTTTCTCTCAGAGTTACCAGGTTAAAAAACCCTGAGAGACCAGACCACAGGGCTTGCAGCCTTCATGATGCAGAGCTCCAAATGTGGGGTGTCTAAAAGCAGCTCAGCACTTCCTAAGTGAAGGACCAAATGGTTGGTAGATGACATTGGGAAAGGCACGCTGATTCCTTCTTGGAGAAGTGCCTTGAAAGCAGCAGGTTGCAGTGTTAATGTTTGATCTGAAGATGGTATGTATGTACGTACTGTGTGTCTTGATAAAGCTCTGTACTCCCTGGAAACACAGGCTGGAGCACTGCTGGTGGACATAAAAGCTTTAAGTGCGTTTAGTCCAAAAATCCCTTCTTAAATATAAACACTCTTAACACTTAAATATAAACTTAAACAAATATAAACTTAACACTTAAATATAAACGTAAAACACTCTCTTAAATATACAGGTAATGTTTTGGGGTTTTTTTCTGGTTTTTTATGTGTCTCATGGTCTGCTGCTGCTCTGAAATGTTCGTGACTACTGAGAACAGAATATGCTGGGAGGTATTTCTTTGTATTTCCACAGAGGAGGATTAACCTGAGAGTTCTGAAACCAGAATGCCAGGAATGCCCTCTGTGTATACCTGCTGGTTCAGGCTGTGTAGCTGATCTCCTTTCCTCTCTGTAACAGCTGATGATCGTTTCTAGTCTGTCCTGGCACAGCTGTTTGGTGCCCCATCAGCACCATTGGTTTTGCATGGCAACAGCTGTGCTCACCGAAGGACAGTCTGTCTGCAGAGCCCGGGCTGACTTGTCACCGGGGCTTGCTCAGGAGAGGGCAGCAAATCGCTTTTCATCTGCTGTTTGCTTTTACTTGTAAAATCCAAGTGAGATGTGGGCCTGGGACAGGATGAAGGCAAGTGTGATGTGTGTCTGCCCAGAGGATGACAGTGAAGCTCCAGACTTAGCTGCCCAAGCAGCAGACGTTGCTTTTTGAACCTGTAACTATGAGTTTAAACAGTCCTTTCTTCTTGTTGTTCCAAAGCATCAGACTAAAACAGAGAGGGAGAGGAAGGTGGGCATTATGCTGCTATGGCTGTGATGGAAATAGGGTTGGTTCTCTGTCTGATGCTCTTTGGAGGGTGGAAATCCATCCTTTGGCAGGTGGTGGAAAATGCCCTTGCTCATAGTCACTGAGTGGTGAGAGCAGTGGGTTTGCACTGACGTGCCTGTTGGAGGTGGGAAGGTGCCTGGAGGACGGGTGGGAGGTAAGTGTTGTGAGAACACCCCAGGGGTGGGTAGGGCAGAGGTGCAGAACAGCTCCAAGTTATTGGGGTTGGCTCTGTGCGTCCATGGGACAGAAGATGCAGAGGCTGAACAGGCAGCTGTGTAAGACCCAGGGAATTTAAATGCCTCTGCGCTGGGAGGAGCTGAGGGAGCTGAAATCTGCATCCAAATACTGTGAAACACCAACATCTCCAGTTAGGAATCACAGCCCTTTGCTTGGTTGTCTCTCCTGCAATATGATAAGGTCTGTGGCTGTGTTTGGGGAGCTTTTTTCACCAGGGCCTTTTACCTCCGGCATCCTCAGGCTCACCAAGAGTTGCTGTGGGTGCCCACATTTGCTCTGCGTCTCCATTACCTGATCTTTCAACACAGTGTTAGCAAGCTGTTTTTTTCCCAGGATGAGACTTTAATTCCCTCCCATTGATCATGGCCAAAGAAGAGAGCTCAAATGGAGATTTTATTCCAGAAACAATGGCCCCCTTATGTGCTGTGTTGTGATCTCTGTGAATGAACCTGCTGGTGAAATAAAGGCTTTTCCCCAGGCTGTTTTGTCCCTTTCTCAGGTGAATCTTCCTATTAGGTCAGCTGCCTGGATTCCTGCAGGGAGAGAGAAGGGAGGTAAAAGATGAAGTCTTTGTTCTGTGGGGACATGAGACAAAATGACAGTCAGTGGGACTTGGGCTTCATATTTAGTTTCCATAAATCCCCATGTGCCGCAGGGAGTTTGTGCACATGAAAACCTACAAAGCAAAGGGCAGTTTCCCTGTGCAGCTGGACATGTTTGTCTGCCTTGTGACACTTCTCTCCAGGTCCAGTCCAAAGCCTCTGCCCTGGGCTGGCTGCTCCCTTCAAACCAAACTGGTGGTGCCCTTCTGGCCTCATCCTCAGCTCTGCCAGGGGCTGCTGCCTATTCCCTTGGTACCTGCTCTCCCCCACCCTTGCCACTGCTGTCCACTGAGTGGAATCCTGGCCCTGCTCTGTTGTGCCTTGACTTCAGTAAAGCCAGGGTTCCTGAAGGAGCCTTTGGAGTGTGAGCTGGGCTGTGCACACGCTGCCAAGGTGAATCTCTTATGGAGATCCAGGGCAGGAAGGCCCAGCTGTGGGGCAAGGGCACTGGATTATGCATGTCTTGGTAGTGTAACATGAGTTATGTACAGTAAGGCAAGTATTTCTGAAACCACAGAAAGCATCTGAGTCCTGTCAGAATGAGAGAAAATTGGGGTGAAAATCAGGCACTGTATTCCCTAAACTTGTTCCAGTGCTTAATTAGCTGTGGAAAAATTAGCATGTAATTTCAATCCCTGTTTGTCTGTGAGTTTCCAGCATTCCTACCTTCCCTTGCCTTTATCTGTAGATGTCTGTGGGGCCCCATGTGCTAGGCACTTTGCGTTCCCAGGGATGGGA